CAGTTTCCTTCAATTTGTTGTTCACATGTATGACAAAGTGGAATGTTCATTGCCATTTGGTGTGAAAACACATCTGTCATGTAGGGTTGTGTTTCAAAAATATTAGGTTCACACATGTCACACACGAGCCAAATCCTTAACGTATCATGTGAATACTTGCATGAAAATGGTGACAACCACTTTCACGTGATGAATATATGAACATATGGAAAACTGTAATGAATGGACAAAGTTTGGACTGCTTGAGGATGTTCATGCAAAACCATCACATGTGTTGATTTTGTGGTTCACTTCGGGAACAAATACAACACGAACAGAATACATACTACAATCAAAGCAAATTTAGCGAACAAAATCCGAGTTACGCACGGATGTCCATGGTCAGTTCTCACATTTTCATGTTGACCAAGAGAACAGAAGTAAAGTGTTTGGGAAATGACACAAAACATCAAAGTAACAGTCTGGCATGTGTGAATTTGCGTGTGAAACTGCAGAGAAAACCACAGCACGGACGCGTCTGCCTTTTTGTTTGCTTTGGGAACCGGGCCCGTCGACATGCCAAAACGAACCTGGGAGATATAAAGGGACCTTCGCAATATAATTTTTTTGGCATCGCCCAGGTCACTTTTGGCACGTCGACGGGTCACTTTTGGCATGTCGACGGGTCACTTTTGGCATGTCGACGGGCCGTTTCTATTTTACTATTTACTTTTTTCCAGCCCGCAGCCCGTCCAATACTACTTTAAATAGGATTTCGCCAATTTCTCCCTTTTCCCTACTACTTTCTGAGGAATTTGAAGCTTTCTCTCTCTGGCAATATTAATCTAAAGAGGAATCTTGTTTTGGCATCGCCCAGGTCACTTTTGGCACGTCGACGGGTCACTTTTGGCATGTCGACGGGCCGTTGCTGTTTTACATTGTTTTACTATTTACTATTTTCCAGCCCGCAAGCCGTCCAATACTACTTTGAATAGGATTTCGCCAATTTCTCCCTTTTCCCTACTACTTTCTGAGGAATTTGAAACTTTCTCTCTCTGGCAATATTAATCTAAAGAGGAATCTTGTTTTGGCATTGCCCAGGTCACTTTTGGCACGTCGACGGGTCACTTTTGGCACGTCGACGGGTCACTTTTGGCATGTGGACGGGTCGTTTTGGCATGTCGACGGTTCACATTTGGCATGTCGACAGTCGTTTTCGCATGTCCTCGGGACGGATCCCGCTGTATTTGGGCCTGAATGCAATGGTGATTTCACCAATGTTCACATGTCCATGATGCAAGCACTTCTCGATTTGTGTTTGTTACACTTCACTGATTTGTGCGTGTCATCCAACCCGTGAGCACTGCTTTCAATCGTTTGCGCTCCTCTTCAATCTTTTGCAGCTTTAGATCAACAGGTTGTCTTTTGCACAACTGTTCCCGTTTGGGAAAATCATCGGGTTTTGGGATTGCCCGGTATCCCATCTCCAACAACGAACCATTGCTTTCTGCCTAATCATCCATCAAAAGTTGAATTCGCATCTCTCAAACACGCAGTCTGCATAGACTCTGAAGGTTGTAGCTAGTCCTTCTTCTCCTCTGATTCTTGCTTTCCGGTACAGTCGCTGGAAACAATTTCTGACTGTTGTCACCAGCTCCATGTTCAGCCCTGAGTTTTGGATGGCTGCCGTGAGAGTGGCCACAGCGGCCGATTGCAACTCTGACGCATCTTCAAAACGCTCTGCGGCTAAGGCCTCGTTGATCAGCCTCCGCAGATTTGTCATGAGATTTGAAAGCTGCGTCCCATTGGTTTGATTTTCATTACCATCTCCATTGTCCATGTCATCATCTGTCTGTTGCTGCTTCCTCCTCACCATTTTCCATCTGATGATCACTTTCGTCAGCAGTAGGAACCACATTTGCTCCTGAAGAGCTCGGCAACTCCACTGACGATGGAGTAGGCACACCACCAATTGAAGGACGAGGTGGCGCGTCCGTAGTGTCCGGCATCCTTTGCCTCATGTCAGACATCACCATATTGGCTCGCTCTTGAATGAGCATGGAAGACCTCTGCTGCCGAGTCAATTCACTGTGTCGAACAAATCCTCCACCTTCCACCAAACCAAAATGCACGTGGTTACCAGGTCCTCACGAACGTTCACCTCCATGCTGTATTGGTCCACATGGGCTCGCAAGTCGTTGTCAACTCGCCTCACATGCCTCTGCACATCTTCCAGCATATCTGATTGTTTTCCTTGATTGGCAAACGCCTCGGATATCACTGCTGTACATGCTATGAAAGCAAAACGGAATTGGAGTAGTTTTCAACTCAACTGTCTGCACAACTGGACATGAAACTGCATATGCAAACATGTATGTACATGACAGCTATATGAACATCTATGGCAGGGATTGCAACAGCGTAAGTTTCCATCACCCCGCCTCAATTTGACCGTTTGGCCAAAATTGCAAAACCAAAAGAAATCCGTCAGACATTCGTCTAATGTCTCATGGCAATAGGGCTACGGATCTCTCACTCCATTCAGTAGCTCAAAAAGTCCAAGCACAGGTGCAAAGGTCACCATATAGGGCTCGAGGTCCAAGCACTGCTAAATTGCATAGCGCAAATGAGTGCACTCGGTCATCTCATTCTCAATGGCATCCATAGACAGCTGGTCGTTGCGCACGGCTGCTGCTTCATATTCAGCTCTCAGCCTTTGCATACGGGTAGCCAGGATCCTATTGGTTTCCCTCATGATGTTCTCCAAGTGCGTATCAGTGTACCTTCGATTGAAGGCTGCAGTGTCCTCCTCATCAGGAGCTCCATGGTGAACCATGCGCCATAGCTCATCGTCTGAAACTTCATCCATTCCAGAGTTTTGATACCTTTCAACCTTTTGTTGATAGGTTTCATTCCTATCCTCAGCTTCTGATGCATCCACCTCGTCTGTGGTTGGGATTTCTTCCTCAGCTATCTCATCCAAGCCATGCTCCCTTCGATATGCCTTCAGCATCGAAAGAACCTTTCTCAGGGCAACATCCATGCGCAAGGTCTGAAGACGTCCTTGAAGTGCAGCACCAAAATGAGCTGTCACCACCAGAAAGCCACAAAACAAGCAAATGATGGTTAGGAGGAACGCCATCACCATGCCAAAGAGCCCTGAAGTGCTCGAAGAGCTGGAAGGAGAAGGGTCAGCAGGCAATTCCATAGCCATCGTGCTGCTCAAGGCGTTGATGAGTAGCACTCGCATCAAGCTTTTGGAGGTTGTCCCATTAAAACCCATTTGTCTGAGGTTCTTGATACCAACACGTAATATTTGCTGTTCTTCCAACTTTTCTGCAAAACTGGAGCCAACAAACTGGCTATTGGCCATGTTGTATACTTTGCAGAGGTTCATCAAATATTCCATACGGTCTCGGGTCAATCTCTTTGTACCCAAATCAGATACATTTTCCTTTGTACCAACTTTTCCAACAGTCATGAAACCTTCTTTGGTTTTCTCTTGCATCCACAGGATCCTAAGGCTGATGTGTCTTATCCTGCCTACTCCAACACGGCATAGGAAGGCCCTCGCAGCAGAGTTGTCCATCGCCAGATGAACCTTGATATCGTCCTTGTCCCCAATGGCGAACCTGAGACAATGGTACATCAAGATTGCGTCACTGGTTGCTGACGCAGCTGAGTATATTTCTGCCTCTGCTGATGAAAGAGCCAATGCTTTCTGAGAACGTGAAGTGGAGTAGAGGAGACATCCAAACAGAAATAAATATCCTGAAGATACTGATCGACATGTTTGTTTGTGTTTCGCCCAATCTGAATCACTGTAAATCTCAAGAGTATAGTCACATGGATTGTAATGAAGCAGTCCTTTGTGGGCCTCATACTTCAAAACCATCGCATGCTCAGTGCATCCCAAAAGATACTGAGCCAGGTGTCTCAAGCAAGCCATTGCCTGAACAGAAGGTGAAGACATACTTTGTGAAAGACCTCTGATGGTATATTGACATTCCACGTAGTCACTTGATATATATAACAAGATACCAATGCATGACCTGTATACACTTGCATCTCCAGCACTCAGCTTGGTAGTCGTGTCAGGCTCATCCAGCATCGGGTGTCCTGGTGTCTTCTTTGGTTTCAAGCGTCGATTGATACAAAGTAGATCGAAAAGACGTTCAAGATGTTCGGGATGACTCTGAATTGCCATCTCGTCCTCAGAGATCAAAGTATGCTTTCTCTTCAAAAACGTAAGCTCATCATTTTCCTTGGACACGATCTCACATGAAATCTTGTACTTGGAGTTCAAAGCTGGAAGCAGTACATCGTCAAGGTACTTTTGGGTACTCAAACACAAAACTTATTTGTTTCTCGAGGAAACCGGTTGGGTTGGAAGTTTCCACCTTATACCTGTAACCTTATTGTGCGTATATTATCATATAAGAGTGCACATATATATATATATGTGAAATATATCACATGTACGCATCGTCGTTCGCAATTGGATCCCCAAACGTTTCTTTTCAGAAACTTGGTCCATTCTCTTAAAAATTTTCTCCAAAATTTTCTTGTCTTCTCAAAAATGGATGCTGGCACGGAAAAACAGCTGTCACAAAAATGAAGCGTTCCAAAAATGGCTGACATCACTCGGGGCACACCTTTTTTCATTCGGAGCAAAGGGGAAAAGTACGATCCCGTTTAACCGTCAAACGGCTAAGGGTTAGGCTCTAGGATCTGTAAAAAGAGAATGAAACCTTCCTCGCGCGAAGCGTCCAAGGTTTCGGGAAAATAGGGGCGGGAGAACTGACAGTTTGGGCGGGAAAAATTCACAACCACTCAAAAGTGAAGTGAAAAACCCACCTCACCCACCCTGGTTTGAGGCGCGCGCGCACATATAAATTATGTCGCTGATGTTTGGAAGGTTTTGACATCTTGTTCAAAAACCTCTCAAACCAACAAACCAAAAAACCTAGAGCCTTTTCTATTTTGTGTCAAACGTGAAAACCGTCTTTGAAAAATTAAAC